GGTATATCAAAGGACTCAGAAGATAATTTAATGGGACTTAACTTGCCCAATTTTGGACAATTTGACCTTCGAAAATACTGGCTATAAGTACGTTGTAATGCATTTGATTTTTAAAAAAGGATCCATGAGTATATAGAGTAATACTAAAATAAACTAATTTAAGAACAAACGCAAACCTAGTCACAGATGTGAAGGCAGGGAGGGAAAGTTCCAGAAAGATGTCATCAGTTCTGGGAGAAATCTATCAGTAAATCTAGCTTAGAGTTGGGCAAACTCTAGGGTGTCAGGTTACTATAGGAGCACAAAAGAAAGGCATCTGTATCAGAATGGGAAGGGTGGGAGAAGGCTTCCTGAGGAGGTGATACCTGAAATGAATTTTAAAGAAAGGATCAGGAGCTACCCAAGTGGTACAAATAGGTAATCGCTTTCATAAATACTGACTCAGGCACAGATCATCAGTGAAAACTAAAACCACTGGGCGAAAGGTTGTTGGCAAACAGAATATTCACATAGTCTCAAATTGTCACACTATAGATTAAATAGGTTAAAAAGGGGGAAATGTACTATGATGACAGGAAAATCTGGCAAACCCCAATTTAACTGAATGACCAAATTTAATGTCACCAATTATGATAGGACAAACTGACCTCATGTATCTCCCGATTTGACACATTGTGATGAAAACAATATCACCTATGTAGTACTCTTGCCAAGAATGTTTGAACTGAGTGTAATCATGAAAAATAATTAAACAAATCCAAACTAAAGGGTATTCCACAAAACAACTAGACTGGCTACTTCAAAAATACTAATATCCTGAAAGATTTAAAAAAAAAACAACTGAGGAACTATTTTAATTAAGGGAAACTAAACAAACATGACACTGATACTTGGTTAGATCCTATATTTTAAAGAAATTTAAAAAAAGATATTTTGGGGACAACTGGAGACATCTGATATGAGCATTAGATAATAGGATTGTATCAGTGTTACACTTTTGAATTGAGACAATAGGATTGCAGTATATGGGGGAATGCCTTTGTTGTTAGGGCATGTATATGCTGCAGTATTTAGGTGTGAGGTGTCATGATGTCTATAGGTTACTCTTAAACAGTCAGGCCAAACAAGCTGTTCATATGTGTGCTTACATAGCATATATGACAAATTTTAACCATTGGTGAATCTAGGAAAAGAGTATCCTGATCATTATACTATTCTTGCCACTTTTCTGTAAGTGTGAAAAATTTTAAATAAAGAGCTGGGAAAAAATTGATGATAACTATAGAAAGATATAAAAATTACATATAATTTCCAAACAGCAAGAATAGAAAAAGAAAGTCAACTAATTGATCAAAAGGTAATAAAGGGAACTTTAAAAAGAAGTGACAAGAATGTATAACAGAAAACATCAAACAAGATGATAGAAACTAGAACAAACATCAATTTTCTCAATTACATAAATGAATTATATTTACCTAGTAAATGATAGAGGCTCTCTGATTGGATTAAAAAATCACATTTATACTAAGAGATACAACTTTTTAAAAACACAGAAAGAGAATAAAAGGATCAATGAAGAAATGAAACAAAGTAGGAGTAGTAATTATATTAGACAAAACAGAGTTCAAGGTGAAAAATAACTAAATACAAGAAAGAATATTTTATGCTGACAAAATTGTACAAACCATGAAAACAATTCATTTGTTTTTATGAATCTAAAATATAGCTTTTGAATACATACAGTAAAAGCCAAATTCAATTCTAAAATCACAGTGAAAGTATGAAACAATTGTTTTAGAAATCTCTTTTGGATCAACCATATAAAAATTAAGTCATGGAAAATATGAATAAATCAAAAGGATATGTATAGAGATATGGACATAACAGACATAATGTTTATGGAATGTTCTCAAAAATGATATTGTTATTGGCATTTTGTTAGGTCAGAAAAATAATGCTAATTTTTAAAATGTGATAATAGTACTGTGGTTATACAGTATTTAGAAATTAGTCCTTGCCTTTTGGAGACACATAATTTTATGGATGAAATGGTACAATCTCCGGGATTTCCTTCAAAATAAACTGAAAGGGTGAGGGAGGGTGTGGGGTATGAGCTGATACCAGCTACCACCTGGATATGGTACATGTGTATTCATTGTTTTATTTTTACTTCTGTGTATGTTTGAAATTTTCCAAAACAAGACATTTCTAAAAGGAAATTTCCAAGTATTTAAAATGAAGAGATGTATATAAAGCTTATGCATTATAGTGAGGATACTCATTGTATCATTATTTTGATGGAAAAAATAGAAAATAACATTAATGTAACAGGCAAATGGTTAAATGAATTATGAACAATTCAGCTGTAAAATGCTATATAGTCATTCAAAAGGATGATGCATATCTTTACATACGTACACGGAGAACACTCAGGATATATTAAGTGGAAACGCAAGCTGCAGACCTCTCTCTCTTTCTCTGCCTTTTCCTATCCCTCCAGCTCTCCCAACTCCAGCCCCAATACATACACAGGAATGTAGGAAAAAATCAGAAAAGATACAGTACAAACCATTATCAGTGATCATCTCTGGGGAGAAGAATAGAATTAGTAGAGGCAGAGGGGATGGGTGGAGAACAGAGATCTTTCATTTTTCACTTTATATACTTCTGAATTATTTTACTATTTTTCCCAACATGTATTTTGAAATTGAAGAAAGAAAAAATGTTCATAAAAAGCAAAAGAAAACTGAATTGTGATTTAGCAGCCTCTCTTCTAAAGTGGCATATCATACCACTTGCACTTACCCTCTAAGTCTATTTTGTGAAAACCAGCTAATACAATTTTAGTGCACATGGCTAAGAATACAGTAAAAAGGACAAAGTATGAGATAGGTAAGTACATTCCCCCTACCACGCTTGGCCATGATCCTGACATAAAACCTATAATTAGCATTTTACATATACCCAACACACAACTAGCAATGACCTCCAAGGACCTGTAGATCCTTGATATAAATAAACTTACTAATATCTGTTCGGATATTTTTGTTTTCCAAACTATTTGGGGAGTTATATTCATGTTTACTGGCGTGTTTAATTTGGCAGTTTTCCTGTCTGCTTTTTAACCTGGATTTAACCTTCACTTGAGCCAACTTCAAGTAGAAACTCAATTTTCAAAATTCTGAAATCTTCCAAAATCTGGGAATCAAAGGACTCTTATGTTAGGTCAATTTAGGTTTCATAGGGGTGTTTTCAAGTTCTTTGTGGAGCACTGGTGTATTTAAAGACTACTGCACAACATTCTTTCCTATGCATCTCCGATGATAAAATTCCTCTCCTAATTCCTAGATTGCACCACCTTTTCTGCTATCTTAACTTCCGAAATCCTCTACTTCCTGTTTCCATCTGAACCCCATCTGGCTGGACATTTCAAAACCCTTCCCACAGCTCTCTAGACTTTTGCTTATGGGGATCTTTATGTCTATTTTCCTTTCTTCACATTTCAGCTGAAAGCAGCCTTCTCCTATGCACCTTCCTGGATTAACCATGCCAGCTCTTGGGGTCAGCAGTGTATTCGAATAAACTAGACCCTGGGGATATAACAGTCAGTAAGATGCTCCTCCCTTCAAAGAACCAAGTGGTCTGGTACGGGAAGGCAGCAGTAGCAATGAGGGCCTTGCCCCTCTTGTGTCCCAAGGTTTTTTCAAAATCTAGTTGATTTGTGGTGAATACACATCTGGGTGCCAATTCCCTTTTGTGATTCTGGGAGCAACCTGCAGATAGAACCCTTTCTGCTTTTTAACCTGGGGCCAACTCCCCACTGGGGTGAAGTACTCACCTAACTAAGACTGGGATCTTGGGCATCTTCTTGGAGACTTTAAAGAAACTTGTGTCCCCTTTGTTGTCAGTGAAGTACACACCAGCCACACTGGTCACGAGGTTCCCAGGGAACGTGAATAGTACCCTTTCATCTTCGCCCTGGTTGGCCCAATCCCAGGCCTGGCCTCCTATGAGCAAGCCCCCTCCGCGTTTCATAAACTGGACCAGCTTTTCAGTCATGGTTTCATTATAGGCATCGATACAGTAAACCCCTAGGGAGTCTTTCACTTCTGGCTCAATCTTTGCCTCCACTCCGGAGCCCTCAAGGATTTTGGCCAAAGGTGCCAGGGATGGGTGTACACCAATGGGAGCCCCGGGGGAAGAACAAAGCCACCCCACTGCATTGAGGAGAAAGGGAGTGAGCTGGGTCTCTGCCAAGTAGTCCTCATGGGACACGACCACCAGGCGGCCTCGGCCATAGGAGGAGGCAGCGATGAGCACCTGGCCCATGTCATTCACCATCACTGGAAATGAGGCCTCTCCAATAAGAAGCAGTTCACATGGGATGGCATCTTCAGGGACATCCCAGCTTGTCACTCCATTCATAAGGGCCTCGAAGGCAGCAGAGGGAGTTGCCATGGTTCTATTCGTTTCTGTAGGAAGAAAGCAAAGAGTCAGGTTGGTGAAGAACAGATAACCAAACAAAGAAACTCTTCCACTAGCTGGGAAAGGACTCCCCCACTATGCAGACAAAATGGACACTGGGAAAGGACTCAAGCACTCTGTGTTAGTGCCTGCAGTCTAGGAGACCCCACTGTGCCCTGTCTTCTTAAACTCTTGAGGTCAAACTTAGAGAACTTGACACTTTTTAACAGAATGAAACAAATGGAAGGGAGAAATGAGGGTGGAATTGTATCCCCCAAAGAGATATTTTGAAGTCTTGACTCCTAGTACCTGTGAATGAGCCTTTATTTGGAAATAGGTCTTTGCAGATGTAATCAAGTTAAGATGAGGCCATACTGGATTTTGATGGGCCCTAGTCCAATAATTGGTGTCCTTAAAAGAAGAGGAGATTTGGACACAGAGAGACACAGATACACAAGGGGAGAATGCTTCAGAAGATGGAGGCAGAGACGGGAGTGATGAGTCAACAAGCTAAGGAATCCCAAGAACCTCTGGCAAACACCAGAAGCCAAGAGAGAGGCATGGAACAGATTCTGCCCTGAAACTGCCAGAAAAAAACTACACTGCTGACACCTGGATTTCAAACTTCTAAGCCTCCAGAACTGTGAGAGAATCAATTGCTCTTATTTTAAGCCACCCTATTTGTAGTAATTTGTTATAGCAGCCACTGGGAACTCATAAAGTGGTGCAGCATGCTGTCCCCTCGACCCTGGCGCATTCCATCCATCTTGGCTTCCCTGCTGGTCTCATTAATCCCAGTGTGGAGAATCCAGAGCCTCCATCTGAAAGGTCTGGGCTCTCAGAGAAGGTTCTTTGGTCAAAGTCACAGGCTGGTAAGAAGAAAGTGGAAGCCTCTGTGGCTTGAATCCAAGTCTCAGACGACCACAGGCCGAAGGTAACAAGTTATGAAATTATGGCAGATTCTTACTTGTACCTGAGATATAACTGAGAAAGAAAGGTGTATGTGTCTGGGGATGTCAGCTCACAAATATCTCTGCTTCTTCACCGTGAGCTCCCCCCTAAGGGTGACTACAGTCCTACCTCCGCTGCATGCACTGTACTGAAACAGTTCCACCAAGGACAGATGTGTTTTCATGATCAGGACATCCAAGGCATCTCACTGACCGCTCAGCAGCACTGGACATAGCGGCTCTTCCTGTCCATGAGGTCACACCACCTCTAACTGTGTGGCCCAAGCCAAATTCTTTGTCTTCAACCTCTGGAACCACTTACTTTCTGTCCTTCCCTCACAGCTTCTTGGAATATGTGAATAGTCCTTAAATTTTTAATCTTTGGCTTGTACCTCTTTTCTATTTCCCTTGTCAGAGAACACACTCACTCTCAAGGTAACACGCAGACTGATTACAAGCTCAGGGTCTGGAGGTACACAGTTGTCAGGGTTTCGATCTCAGCTATGCTGCTTAGTAGTCGTGAGACCCAGGCAACACATTGCAGACTTAGTGTCCTCATTCATTAAATAGGGAAAAGAGTATCTACCACATAAGGTTATCCTGAAGATTAGAGGAAATAACACAGGTTAAATGTCTTTTCATCAGTATTCAATTACATATAGCTATACATATGTACACACCTACCTGTCTATGCTTATAATTATTTGGTTAAGAATAAACCATTTAAGTATATGAATAATAGAGATTTCTTGCAAAGTGAAAAAGAGATCTAACCTAGCATTAGGATTGAGCATTCGTTGATTCTCGTTTCATAGTTTTCATATTTTAGGGCCAAAACTAAATACTAATGCTAATCATTATTGTATTTATTTCTCAAGTATCTCTATGGGCCCTTGAAAAAGTCCTTGGCATAAGCACTGTGCCTTCCACAGGCCACAGATGGAAAAGGTCTTGGTCCTAACGTGACTAATAAGTTCAAGATTCCTACTGAAAGAGCACACCAGCCGTTTATAGCTGGTCTCTAAAACTAAAGAAGTCTTGAACTTATTATTTTTCTTCTAAATTAGCTCCTCTAAGGTAAATTACATAAGCTTGGTGCTTATAGTCGTTAAACAGAAGCATTACCTACCTACCTACTTCAGGCAACTACAGAGAAGATACAAGCAGTGAGCACTTGGTTAGTAAGAAGCTTGTCTCTTCCTTGCTCCTCCTGGTGTCCACAAATAACCTGGACAGCAAAGTGCACAGGGTCACAGTATGTCCCTGTTCCTTCTCACTCCTGTTCCCATATCCAGCTGGTCGCAAGTCCTGTCAGCGTCCTTGTTCATGGTTTCTAATCACACTGTCCTTAACCTAGTTTAGGTCCTCACTAATTCACACCTGGACTAAACCAATCCAGTTTCTAAGTCCCCAGGATCAGTTCCCACCTTTACTCTTCTAAAACCACTCTGACCATATTATTTCCCTGAAGAGAACCACCCCCCACCCACCCCCGACCCCTGCACCCAGCGCTCCACCTTTGCCCACAGGGACCATCTCACTCCCTCCTGTTCATGTGTGAGGCCTCTGGGCTGGATGTCCTTATGTTTCCCAGCCTTATCTCCTACTGTCTTCTTCCCTGCATCTCTCAGGCCACCTAGCATCCCTGGACACGCCCTGCTTCCATTTCAGATTCTCTTTCCATTCTCTTTTCTTCCTGTTCCCTCTCCCACATCTTTCTAGCTATGGAATTCCTATCTTTCTAAGAGAAAATATGCACAGAAGAAGAAATTTAAATGATCACTTCTGTGAAAAGATGCTCAATGTCACTAGTAATCAAGCAATGAAAAATGTAATGTATGTTGCCCATAATACTGTAAAACAAACAAACAAAAAAAGACCTAGGAGAAAGAGGAGGAAGAGAAGAAGAAGAAGATGAAAAGACAAAGGAGATGACAAAGGCAGCTAATAATGTCCAACGTTGGAAATGCTATGGGGACACAATCACAGTCTGCTGGAAGGACAGAGAATGTCTGTACTCTTTTTCAAAAGCAGTCTGATGGTGCCAACTCAGTTTCAAAGGTGTGCCTATCCTCAGACCCAGCAGACTCTCTTCTAATAACCTTTCTTATAGAAATAAAAGCAGCAGTAACTATTAAAGATGTATGTATAAGGATGCTAACTGCCACACAAAACTACAAATGGAGATAAATGAAAACCTAGAAATAAAGATAGAGTCACAAGGAATATTTCCTAGAACCATTTTTGATTCTTGATGGTACAGGATCTCTAACCCAAACCTATACCTATCCAACTTCCACATGCCCCCAGATACTCCATTATACCTGGCATAAGACTCTGTGGCATGACCCCCAGCCACCTACCTATGCACCCCATTAAAGAGCTGTCCATCAGTCGCCCTCAGTCTCTCTTGACCTCTGCTACCTTCAGTGCTGATACACCAAACACACCCAGAGCAGGGAACTCACATTTCTGTCTTATTAGTTGTTTTCTGAGCTAGTTCAAGGACAAGTTAAATTTATTTAGGATCTACTTAGAAGAATGTCTTAAATACATTTTAAGTGGAAATTTCAGGTCACTATAATATGTAGGACATGAACACATTTTTGTGTGGACAAAGATAATGATAATAGTTGTCAAAATTGTACTAGTAGTAGTAGTAGTAGTATTACAATACAATGCTTACCAGGTTTCTGGCTTTATTATAAGTGGTTTATGGAACTTATTTAATCCTGATGATAAACCCATGAGGTATATACTATCACTATCTCTATTTTATAGATGGGCCAAAAAAAAAGAGAACCCAAACCCTGGTGCCCAGAGAATTTGTTACTTCCTCAAAGTCACGTAGGTGGTAAGTGGTGGGTGTAGGATTCAAGCGTAGGAAATCTAGTGCTCAGGTCCACATTCTTAAGCACTAGGAACATATAAGTACCTGTTAAATACCAGGCTTTCAAATGCATAGAAAATCTTTATAGGCTACACTTCAACATACTAACATTGATTACATCAGGAAGGGATACGGTAAACCGTTTTCTTTGTCTTTATACAAATCTGCATCCTTTGAATTGTTGTATATATTACTACTACAATTAAAAAGAACACTGAGGTAATATAAATCCAATTAAGTAAACACATTCGATAATTAAGTACACTATATAAATGATGAGACAGACTGACCATCTGATCCTATCTCACTGGCCCTAAAAAGTCTTCCTTCATCTCCCATCAGGTTGTGCATTTTCCCACCTATAAATTCGATTTCCTCCTCTGTGGGGGCTCCTTCAACTCTGCAATAGTTGTGTTCTCCCTCTACCCAGCTATCAGTAACGCTAATGCTTGACTTTTGAACCAAATGCCTTCTTTTTATTCCTGAATCCCTGTTTGCTCTCCTAGCTTGGCGAGCTCAGATGAACACAACCTGGGGGAAATTCCTTTTGCTTTTCCCCCTAACCTCTCGTGGTTCCTGCTTTCTCTCCCCTGGGCCCACCATGGCCCCTTTTAGCTTGCTGGAACAAAAGTCATCTCCAAAGCAGAAGGCACCCAGGCACAACCTGTAAACTCAGGGAGAGAGCAGAACTATTCCTATCACCAAGCAGCACCATGGCACCTAAATAAGGTTTTCCCCTTAAGAGATGTAAGAAAGGGAAGGTGGGTGGAGGGCCATCTTGGATGTTGCACCATGCTTATCCGGTATTATAGTTTGATTTCGATGTGTGTCTGAGGTCAGAGAATATGTTTTATTCTGTGGATGAACAGGTACTCTATGGCTGGATGATTGAATGATGGATGTGGGTATAAAGACAAACCTAGGATTATTTCTTCAGCAAATAACTAGCCTGACCTTGAAAACTGATCAATATCACAGACATCCAACTCTATAGGTCTTCTCTTCTTCACGTGGTTTCCATGAATGCTTCTTTTTCCTTGTACATCCAATATCTTTCCAATGTCCATCAAATTCTACTAAGCCAGAATTGGGGCTAGTTCAATCTCTTCTGCATTCTGTCCTAAACATTCCCAGCTCAGTCTTATTTTCCACTTAAAATTGTTTAATT